ACTGCCCAAAGCGTAAAAACAAAACTTACGCCCGTGTAGTGTTGAAGGACTGGAGAATAGTGATCAAGTGCAGTATAGATTTTTGCAAGAAGATCTGTTAAGGCCTCAACCTCATCACCAAGCAAATCCACCTGGGAAACAAATAAAACTAATTAATGTGCTTTAATGCCTCAGTCCTTAATCCTTTGAGGGTGATATCTAGGTTATAACTTTTTCATGGTTTGCATGTTAAGCTCTGAAAAGTGAAGCTAAACACTAACTAGTTAGGTTTGACAAATAAATTACCTCAAGTTCAGCTTTCTGAAGATTAGAGCCTCTTGTCTCAGATATCTCTTTGTATCGCAATGCCTTCTTTCTTAAAAGATTGCCTTCTTTTGCAAGGTGTTTACATTGTTCTTTTAAGAAACAGAACCTGTGAAAGAAAAAAAACATACTGCCCTCTTCATTTACAAAACATTACATAGATAGGTAATAGGTACCAAGAACTATAGAGCTAATATTAAAATGGCAGAGTGATAAACAAAAGGTGGAATTATATAATCAGTTCATTTGCCTAGAATAAATAAGTTGAGTGAATAAAAAACAAGCACCTTGATTCATTGTGCTGGACTTTATTTGCAACAACAGCTTGTTGATCCATCATGAAAATTTCAAAATCTCTGATAGATTTAACAATATTGTCCACGAATTCTCTCATATCCTTGTATTTGGAAACAGCAGATGTTAGCATCTTCTCCTTTTCTTCAATGATGTTATGTAGAGCTTGATTCTGTCTCTCTAAGTCTTTTAGAGAGTCTGAAATGGTTCTAAGTCTATCATTCAGCTCAACCAAAGTAACATCATTGTGTTGAACATGCTGCTGAGCTTGCTCCAACCTGCCCATAATGACACCAAACTCCCTGTTCTTTTCAGATAGGTAGGAATCTTGCTTTGCCACTTTGTCTCTTAGCAAATCAAGTCCACGACACATTGACTCCACGCGAGTATGCATCGCTTCCAATCCGATCTGTGATATAAATTTCTCCTTTTCACTCACTAGTTCAGTGAAGGAATCCACAATTAGTTTCAGTTTTTCAATCTTCTGCTTATGTAGAGATTCCTCTTCAGCATGACTCTTTTTCTCCTCATACTTCGACAACAAAGAATCAATGTTTGACATTGATTTAGCAATAGCCTCATTCTGAATTATTGAGCAAACTTCCTGCTTCATATCACCCTCAATCTCATAACCATGCAATTCTATGTTTATTTCACTAATGAACTCTTTTATGATAATCCTTTCTATCTCTTCTCTTAAGGTAGCTGCAATTCTGGCATCTTCAACATCAGATTCAAGCCTTATAATATTCAGTTCATGATCTGCCTCTCTGGATGCAAAATGTGAAGAGTGAGTTGGAATAGAGCAATGGTCTTCTTCATTATTACTTGCACCACTTTCTAGTTGCTGGATTTCAGAATCTAATACATGGTTCTTATCTTGTTGCCCAGGAATTGCATTTGACTTGATACGAATAGAGGTTCTTTTATTCTCCAAGAGGAGGACATCCAACTTTGAGATGACTTCCTCTATTTTCTTCCTCGTTTGCTCAAGTTCTTTGTTATTTCGTAAATGAAAAGGGTTTGATCCATCCTTCTTTAGGATTTCACGCTTCAGTTTGAATATCTCTTCCGTCCTCTGGTACAGAACTGAATCATGCTGCCTTTTCATCTCATTCATCGATTTATTGAAATGAGCTATCAAAGCAACCTTATCCATGTGATCCAGAAGTTTTGGATCACCAAAAACTTCTTCTTTAGAGTCTCCAGGATGAATGGTCTTTGCTACACCATTTCTAGAGGATTTTTCCTTGTCCTGTTGCTTGCTCACATTTTCTGAATCTTCAAAGTTATGCTGTGATCCCGAAAGCCCCCATTCAGAATTCAAGAGTGACTTGGAAATGGAGTCAAGCTGCTGGCGGAGACTATAAATTTCATCATGTCTTTTGTCCCGTCCCTCATATAAACTCAAGCTGCCATTTCCTAGTTGCTGCAGCTTTTGGTTCAGTGATGCTATTTCTGCATCCTTGAGAGCAATTTGACTAGCAGCTTCTTGTTGCACATCACTTAGGATTTCCTTGATGATAGCACCAGTCACAACTCCGAAAACATGAAACTTGTCATTTACTTCATCCACTTCATCCAAGAAAGATTCCATATCCTCAATGGCGGCATCTTCATGGCAAGAAGGCTCAATCTGAACTGCAACACTCCCATTGGCATCATCCGGAGATACATCCAACGTCTCTACCATCTCCATCTGTATGTGAGTTTGAAGCGATCGCTGCTGTAACAAAAAACATGGAAAGAAATTAAAAGGAATGTTAAACTCAGGGATTATAATAAAACCAGCACGCTACTTCCCTCAGGAAATCCATCGGAACATTTATTGCCCAGCTGCAACCGCACATGTACCATTAAATAAACCACGTCAAACATAACGTGCAATCACATCACCCCAAGCTTGTGACAGCATAATGGTCTCTGAGCAAAACCCTACCTCAACAAGAAGACGAAAATCTTACCAATTAAATTACCGGTATAAACTACCTTGAATGCTCGGATAATAATAAGTTAATGACATGGAATTCAAAGAGACAGAACATCCATCCCAGTAATGGTAACACGATTGGGGATAGTGACATGGAAGGAAAATAATCCAAAAAATACGAGAGCAGAAACAAATCAAGCTCTAGCAAAACTAACCGAATAAGGTAAACAAAATAAAACATGCAACAAACAAGAGTAAATCGAAGTCTAACCAATCTACCAACAGTTATTAAGGAGCTCAAATGGGGTGAAGCTAACCTAAGCTCAAACCAAGAGGTGAGGGGCGACGCGAAACAAGCCGGGAGAACCAATCACCACCAACGCGCTACCTAGGAGGACGGGGAGCTCCACCAGTGAATCCGTAGAGTACGAAGCGGCGGCGAGGCAAGGAATCCCGCCCCGAAATAAAAACGGTGGAAAGGGGGGGAAAGAAAGAAGCTGTGCTGATGAATGATGCTCAACCTTTTCTTGCCTGCCGCCGTCAGCGCTGCCAGTGGAGGTGGTGCGGTGGTGCGGAGACACCGAGACAGGGAAAGCAGCCTCCTTTCTCCCTCCTCCCACAGTCCTACTCCCCCACAGTCCCCACCTTTTTTCACCGCCGCCGCCGTTGCGTGCTATCTCTTGAGGTTGACTGCGACTGCTGCTCAAGTGCCGCCGTTGCGCGCTAGCTGGGCAGGTGCCTCTCCTTGCAGCCCAGCCCATGGGTTTGGCCCAAAGTCCCGTTTCACGCTGACGGCCCAATAAGAGAATACACTTCAAAAAAAAATTCTTCAGGTGTGTCATTTTCGTGTCCTGCGAACTAAACAGGAAACAACAGGGACATCCTCCCCTCAGCCAAATAAATGATAGAAATGGTTTCATCTTTAAAAACTGTGTCAGATCCATCCCTCATTCACCACGTCCTCGAACTAAACATACTATAAACTGCTCTGGTTTTCATTCAAGCTTATCATTTTCAATTCTCCATGAATCAGATGTTCTGAATTTCATGAGACTTACCTTCCGACTAGCATCTAGACGGTCTAGACCAAGACTAGACGTGTCTAGATGTATTAGACGATTTTGTATTGCAGTAGCTAAAATTTCAAACAAATATCAGAAAAATGCACATAATCGGCTAACTGTACTGTAGCATCCAAAACACTAAGACAATATTATGAGAAGTTAAGATTTAAACACAATAGTTCCAAGTTCTCGGTTTATCACACATCTAATTCATCATATCTCTAACATATAGACATGACAATTTACAATTTATAGAAACCAAAACAAGCAAATAGAACCACAAATGTGATATGATATGATATGATATGATATGATTATGATATCATATAATAATGATATGATAATAGTTATGATATGATATGATATAATAATGATATGATAATGGTTATATATGATATGATTATTAACTTAATTATAAGCAATGTCAGTCTACGCGGGATGGTTGAATGCTTCCTTGTACGCTATTCGGGTGAGATTTTGGTTGTCTCGTTGCCTAGACTTATGTCTAGGATACCTAGTCGATCGTCTAATAGAGTCTAATGCATGTCTAGCCTTCGTGTCTAGACGGTCTTTGACTAGAGTTGACTGTCTAGACGGTTTAACCGTCTAGCCCAAAGTCTAAAGGCTAAACTAGTCGTTACCCCATGACTAGTGTCTAGACGTCATCTAGACGGGCTAGACTTATGTCTAGGCGAACACTGTCATTGATTAAACTTCTTTTGTCAATGTGGAGAAGAGTCACGGATGTCACAGGAATTAAAAAAACATTTTAGATTTATGATGAAACATTTAGGGGGTATTTTATTCGAGGCGAGAATTATTCATCATTTTCTCACTTCTAATTTCTTTTTGTTAGTGAAATAAAATGCATGAGGAATAGGGTGATTCACTAAAATTTATAGAATGAATTCACTGCCTCATCTAGGACAAATGGTCCCTCAAACATGACATCCTCTTAGAAACTTGCAAAATGTATTCACCATTCACCAACAACCCGGAGATAAAGCTATTTCAGTTTTCAAAAAAAAAAACTCACATTTACGTCTTCTCTCACTGTCTCGCTCTTTTTTAAAAAAAACGAACAGCTGCCTCGCATCTTAAACTCCAACCAGGTAAAGCAAGCACCTTTTTTACAGGCCTCAAAAATTAGAGTAGAATTGAACCAAAATTTGGTTCAAAAATGGATCTTTACCTAAAAAAGCTACAAGTTGCTGGGTAGTTGAATTGCTGCTAAAATTTCCCTCTTCATCTCCTCTCTTTTGATTTTCCCTGTCGTAGTCACTGGAAATGGCTGCCTCCACTGATAATAAGTCTTTGGCACCTTAAATCTGTTACACAAAAAGAAAATTTTGAGAACGGTGATGGTAGCTCCATTGGTAAGAAATATTTGCTCTCAAACGGATGCGCATTCAGTTTCCAAATGCTAATATGTTTTCATCAGAAGACCACCTGCTCAGTTTTTTCGTCCTGCAGTGCTCATGAAGGATCTGAGGAGACACTTCCTTGCCTTTGCCTTGGTGCTTAGTTCTTGCATCAACCCACTTCCAGCCATCCTTGATGCTAACACAAGCAATAACTTTCTCCCCGAGACGACTATCTGGTACACCAACTACCACAACTCCTGCTACTCCTGGGTGCTGAGATAGTACCAGTTCAACCTGAACAACTCCAGGTGTTATATATTGTGTCAAATCACATGTCATTGTTAAAGGACTAAAGAATATGTAGAGTTTGGACTGCTTATGGAAAAAGTACCTCTTCCGGGTAAACATTTTCACCTCCAGTTTTGATACGGCCCTTTTGCCGCCCCATAAGCCATAGATTACCAGCTTTGTCCATCCATCCGGTGTCTCCAGTGTCAAGCCATCCGTTCCTGACACAATCTGATGAATCCACCTTAGTGTTTGCCCAGTACCCAACCATGGTGTGCAAGCCTCTAGTTAAGATGTTCCCAGTTGGTGAAGAACTGGTATTATTATCATCCATGCCGATTCGTATCTCAACATGTGGTGCCGGTTTGCCAACACAAACGCCTCCATAATGGCTGCCTGGTTGGTTCTTGGGTTCTTGAAGCTTTGGTATATTGAGAGCCATGAATGTCAGAGATGAGCAGGCCTCAGTCATCCCTGTTGCAAATTATAAGCTATTAAAATTCAGTAGATGCATTTCCAAAGTGGCTAAATCGCGATGCCAGAGGGAATAACTAACATGGTTTTAGAGTACATTATAAAAGTACACTGTTCAGCCAATATTTCCCTCTTCATAGAGATGTTAGTTTGCATACAATAAATTAATCCTCATGATACATGATTCTGAAGAATCTGCGGTGCTAACTGGCAAAGAACACATACCATAAGCTGAGAAAATAGCAGCATGAGGAAACAATTGTGAAGCTTCATTTATTTGGTCAAGAGACAGCCCACCACCCCCATTCAGAATCTTGGTCACTGTCTTCCCCCAGTCTGATATCATCTCTTTTCTGATTGAAAACGGGACAGATGTTAGCCAGTTACCAACGGCTGTGCACTCCTAGGATTTCAGAAAACTGGAGCACTACTATCTCTTACCGAGGATAGGACAGCAGGTCAGCCATGATCGCAGGGACAGTGATGAAAGAAGTCACCCCTTGTTCCTGGATGGCGTCAAAGGCTGATTTGGCGTCGAATTTCGGTATCAGGACATGGCAACCTCCGGCCATCAGGATAGCCATGCACGAGGAGATCCCTCCGATATGGCACAGAGGCGCTGTATGCAGGTATACCTGCAGACAGGCAAAATATTGGAAGTCATACACTAATGTTTCTCCTGAACTGAAATCGAATTGCATAGTCATTAACATGACATAAAAATTACGTCAGTGGTTTATCGAATCAGTCAACAACGTCTACATGGCAACGCTGTTTTCAGGGGGAAGCTGTAATATAACGGTATGTGCTTGGATCCTGAAATCATACATCATTCTCACCGTAGCCAACAATGGCAATTTTCGCAAGGGACTGAATGATCAAAGACGTATGGCTTATCGCTACACCCTTTGGCCGCCCAGTGGTTCCTGAATCAGAATACCGTAAGGTTATCAGCTATTTTGTAGCCAAGTTTCTCAATTCAAATTTTATCTTAGTGTAATAGGCAGAAACAGGATACACTTCATGAGGTGAATGTTCAGCTTTTTTGAGGAGAGAGACTGATTTACCAGATGTGAAGCATATTAGAGCAACATCCCCTGGAGCCGACATGGGTTCCATCATCACCGTAGCTCCTCTCATGCTCCTCTTGATGTGGGCAACGGATTCAACTGAACCAATATGTCCAAGACAAAACTAACCATGTGTAAATGCTACTACTATATGTGTGTGCAATCTCTTGTAAGGTCCACACTGTTCAATCAATCCAAAAAGGGAAAGAGTTTTCTTGGTTGAGCATGCAAAAACCTTACACTCTGCAACAGCATGGCCGGTCCTGCAAGGATCACCCAGGAGGAGGTAGAGGCCAATGGATGGAAACCTGTCGCTCTCCGTCAGTCGAAGCGCCCAAGAGCTGAACGCGCCGTCGAAGACGAACGCCGATGGCTGCACGAGCTCCACCGAATGTGCCGCCTCCTCGAAGCTCTGGCTCACAAGGGAGACGAAACAGAGCATTTACACTCTTCTGAACCACAAGACAATAACAAACTGGAAAAGTCACGGTAGTAGCTTGCTACTGAAACTGAAAAATCGCAGTCTGAAATTAAAAGGAATACGTACCCAACGGTAGTTGAGAGGGGCGATGATCGCTCCGGCGTAGGTGACGGCGAGGAACAGCTGGACGTACTCGACGCTGCACAGCAATGGCTCATGGCTCAGGGAAAGCAACAACATTTCTGCCGCTCCGGCTCCCTGCGTATACGTACGTACCTGTTGAGGGCGACGGCGGCGACGACGTGGCCCGGGCGCAGGCCGCGGTCGACGAGGCCGGCGGCGAGGCTCCGCACGCCGTCGACGAACTCCGCGCCGGAGAGCCGTCGGCCGCCTGGGCCGGCAGCGGCGACGGTGGCGTCGCCGCGGCAGGCGAGGATCCTGCCTAGGCACTGCGAAATGTGGCCCTGGCAGTGGAGTGGCGGTGGCATCGCCGACCGGCCGGCCGGCGCCGTCGACCGAGCGCAACCGAAGCTCCGGTTAGAGAGACTTTGCAAGTGCATGCAGGTTTGACACGCGCGGTAAGGAGGGAGGAGGAAAGATAGCACGAGGACACGAGGGGGAAGTTGCGGCCACAGATTTGTAATGCAGCTTATGACTGACGAGATAGAGATACGCCTGGATAGAGAGGCTGTGCTGACCGCTGACTACCACCGTTGAGTGGTATAAGAAATATCATATAGTGAGCATAAGATGTTATCCGTAATAATGGTAAATACGTAAAAGCCCCACCTAATGGATAGGCATGCCATTAGTACATTTTTATTTTTAGTGCGAAAAATGTGAGACAAAGTCACTTGTTTAAGCAGGTGTTGACGGTCTCGCGATCGGGTTAGATTTATTTAAACTTTAAAAAACGGTAAACGGTAAGCAGCCGGTTTCTTTGAATTTCAGGTGCCTAGTTTAGAATTATTTCAGGTGCATGTGCTTTCAACTTACCATAGAACACCTGAATCTTTCAACTGACCATAGAACTTGCAGTGCTGTGACACCTGAATCTTGTTTCACACTTGGGGAGGTGAATTATGTGAGCAAGGGCTATATTATAGTACCGAATGATTGTTTCGATGGAGCGTGGCATAACAACACAAAGATGGAAAACACAGACATAACACGCTCTATGGACCTCGTCCTCGTGTTCTCAACTCTTATTAATCCTCTAGGTTTCTTATGCAACAAGCCATTTCATAAAAGTTTTAGAGGTTTTAACCATTTGTTCCAAAGAGCTCCTCACAAGTTTTACTATCAAATCTTATGATATTTTGCCTAAAAGGCCTCGTTTCAAACATAAGTCGATCTTGAGTCAATTCTGTGTGCCAATGAATGATTCAGAAATGATGGGCAAGCCACTACAAAAGTTATCGTGACAAATATTGCATGCCACTACCATTACCACATGTAGGTCTCCCAGTTTCATACTATCTAGAGCTATCATATTTTTTTCACAAAAAATAACCATTTTGCCAGTGCTCACCTGAATCTTGTTTCACAACCATTACGACATTTAGGTCTCCCCAGTTTCATCCTATCTAAATTTTTCACAAAATAACCATTTTGCCAGTATCCTATCTAGAGCTTATCATATTTTTTTCACAAAATAACCATTTTGCCAGTATCCTATCTAGAACTTATCATATTTTTTTTCACAAAATAACAATTTTTGCTTATCATATTTTTTGCCACAAAATAACCATTTTGCCAGTGCTAACCAGGGGAGGTGAATTATGTGAGCAATTTAACTGCCATAGAACTTGGCAGTGCTGAATCACTTGGGTAAGTGAATTATGTGAGCAATTTAACTCAAAAGATTAGAGCATCGATTTTTCCATCTTCTACCTCTAATTCTCCAAACCGATTCCCTCCAATTCTCCAAAGATTACCATTAGAGCATCGATTTTTCCATCTTCTACCTCCAATTCTCCAAAGATTAGAGCATCAATTTTTTCCATCTTCTACCTCCAATTCTCCAAACCTTCTACCTCCAATTCTCCAAACCGATTCTAGTAGGATCTCCAATTCTCCAAACTGATTCTAGTTAGTAGGATCTCCAATTCTCCAAACCGATTCTAGTAGGATTGGTAAACAGCAAGCAAATCTGAGAATAACATATGCAAATACCCACAAACATGTACTTAACATTAAGGAGATAACATTGTCGATTACACACTATAGGTGGACACCAACATAATTTTGTCTACTTAAAACATAATGCGCTAAAATAATGGGAAACAGTAATGTGTCCTTCATAAGCAAAAGCCAAAACTTGCAGCAGATTGACGATAACAGCAGCTCTAGTCGTCGAACAGGCTGAAGCCCATTTCCTCGTCCGACTCCTCTTCAGGCTCTGGAGCCTTCTCTTCCTCCTTCGGAGCAGCTGCAGCACCAGAGTCCGCACCAGCAACCGGGGCAGCAACAGCGAACTTGCTTGGGTCCTGCAAGCCAAACACAAAATTAGAACAGCTTAAAACATCAACTTTCAAAACAACACTATCATGACCTGATGATACAGTACATATGGGCAAATAAACGTAGATATGCATCGTAATTAAAAGCAGAGTTATACAAGAGCTTAAATTGCTCAAAATAATTGCCATAGCACAAGTGAACATATGTTACCTTGAGGTACTCCTTGATCTTGTCAGCATGTGGGTACGAGTACTCTGTCTCCACAGCAACAGCAAGCACATTCTTGTATCCATTGATGAACATGTGTGGCACAGCAGCAAGGGTCGGGTACGAGATTGCCAGAGACAGAGAGGCAACCATGGATACACCAGTGGCAAACTTCTCAATCAGGTCCTCCTCAGAAAGGTCAAGCACCTCAGGGCTGAACACAGACCCATCCTCATAGACACTGGTGATCTGAAGACCGTATGAGAAGGGGCGGATACCCAGCTTAGCGAGCAGGGCAGACTCAGATGAGCCCACCTTGTCACCCTTCTTGATCAGCTCCACAGGGGTGATAATTTCCACAGTACCCTTGTTAATCTTGGTGGGGATGTTAAGCACCTGAAACAAATGACGAGTGAGAAATTTGCCATTGTGTGCTAGCATTTAACTGTGACAAAAGTATTGCTCCCAGGCTCACCTGGAAGAAAGAGGTCTGGGAGGGATCCAGCCCAGTGTTGCCAGGGGGCACAACAACATCAACTGGAGCAACCAGACCAACACGGGCAGGGGCCCCAACCTGGAGAAAAAAACACAAGAATTTGCATTACTATTCGATCTATAGCTCGACGTTGATACTGTATCTGTAACAGAAACAATACTAAACACCATCAGTGTTGCAACACATATATACTTCCACATAATGCCTAACAATAACATAGATATGTAACATGAAAAAACTGAATTGTTATGCCTCTATCAGAGATTTTTTCCCAATTCTTATAAAGGAATAACAGACATAGATGTGAACTTAAATTTAGTCTGACAAGTTCAACAAGCGATATCCCAATTCTTATAAAGGAATAACAGACATAGATGTACAAGCTTTTACAGCTAAGTTACCATCAGAATGTGAAATGATACTATGAATATAGAATTTTCAAAACATCCTAACACAAACAATTTGCAACTATATCCAATGTAAGAGAATAGCGTAACTGACCACCATCTACAGATGCCACAGACAAACTATAAACACGTACTATCACGTACTATCAGTGAACTAGGTGCTGTTCCAAAATACAATCAGGTGACTGACCCAAGTAACACCCAGAGTTATATCCTGACAACTCGATGTGAATTTAGATCTACTACATGTGACATCTCTCCGAACGTACGGCACACATACGAGACAATTTGCATACAAAAAATAAATTTTGTGCTGTAAGGCATCGAGCTACTACTCCGAGCAAATTAGTTTGCAGTGACGAGCAGCAAATCGTAGTACATCTCGCAAGCTATTAAAAAATAATTACCGCATTGACAGGTAACAGCAAACAACAGGTGCCGGAAAAACTAAGTATTCACCTTGTACTTGGCGACCTCCTCGCGCACCTCCTTGAGGTCTCCCTTGGTGAAGATGAGGCCGACGTTGCCGACGAGGAGGTCCATGAGCGGGTCAAAGGTGTGGTTCCCGGTCTTCTCGGCGTAGACCTTGATGCAGCGCCTGATGAGCGTGTTCTTGCCCATGAGCACCACCGAGTCGCCCCTGAGGCCCCGGCGGATGTCCTGGAGCTGCTTGGAGCCGACGTTGTCGGCGAGGGCGATGAGCACCTTGGTGTACTCATCGAGCAGGCTGCACAGCTTCTTGTCGTAAGCGATCTTCTTCTCCGCCTTGGTCCGCTTGATCGCCATCGCTGCAGAGGAACGCTAACCCTAGCTGGGGAACGGATCTGTGGCGGGGGAGGTGGGGGTACAAGGAGGAGGACCAAGCCTTCGTGAAGGGCAAGGCGGACGGCTTGCGGCGGCGGCGTCGCTTTAACCTAGCTGATAAGCGGCGGCGGCCGTGGCTTTTATAGGGTTGGAGGAGCAGGGGCGCTAGGGTTTCCTCCTTCTGTGGCGGCCAAGATGGGCCTGCCTGTTGCTGGGCTCCTGTGGTCGTAGCTCGGCTGGCCTTCTTTTGCATACAGCCCAGTCATGATGACGAGAAGGCCTAGCAAAGTGTGGCGGACCAAAAAAAAATGTTAATTAGGATATGTCCAATCCACAAACGCTTAAATGTGCTCTTAAAAAGAGAATAATCAAGCAATTGCATAAGAGCCTTAATCTACAATGGGAAAAAAAGTAAAACTTGCGTGCTAATCTACTTATCCATTCTTAAAACCGTCACTTTTCAAACTACAAAGCAGATGCCTGTGCCAAGGCCTGCCCAAATGTACACGGTGGCAAAAATAAAAATACTGAACCGCTAATTAGCGCCGCCTCAAGCGCCGGTGTTGTACCTGGCCTTAGCACCTTAAGTCCGCTTATTTTATAATCCGTACTTTTCAGGGTTTTTTCAGCCGGAATAGTATTTTCTCTCACAGCAAATCAGCCGAAACAGTGTTTTGGCTTGTTTTTTCAGCGAAGCGAACGGGGCCTAAAAAACTAAGCTCCCATAGCTATGGCCGATGCTTCGTAGACTCGCAGCCGTCACCCACGAGAGTAGCGCATGACTCTGTCGTCGTCCACTCCTAACCATAACCATGATTGGAATTTGTTGGCACTCCTTTCATCTATCGCCCCATAGGCCCATACAGTTCTAGATAAGATTACGTTCCTTATAAATATTATTATTTGTTTATCTAGTAATAGTCCACTAATAATCCACTTTTTCATAAAAAACCTTTTTTCTTACCTCAATCGTGAAATATGTTGTTCGTCTCATCTCTAAACCAAGAGGATTATAGTTCTCAAAATCCTCTTGGTTCAAGGATGAAATGAATAGGGTCTAAAGAGGAGGTTACACCTCTTTTAATAAAATGGGCTTCACAATGGCTATCTT